TAGTAAAATCGTTTGTAATACTTTGGTGAAACAAACATTGTAGCACCGTCAAATTTACAATTTTATCGTATTTGGCGAGGCGGCGAATGCGTACCGTGAGCCCTGATACTTTTTTGCCATTTTTTCTTGATGCGTTGCGGGTGTTCGCTGCAGGTATTTCTAATTAAAAACTTTAACTGTTCAGATAACTCATCTTCTATTTTAAAATTTTTTGTTTTGTTTATCAACCGGTAGAATAATTATGAACATGCATATTAACAGATGGACGAAGAAGTAAAGAATTTCTATTTTATATAGGAACCTTCTTTCAAGAAAAAAAAGCCAGAATTATAAAATTTTTGAATTCTAAGTTTCTCTAGTCTGGAATCCAGTTTAGAGGACTCACTGTATTTATACAGACTTCTCTCTAAGAATTAAAAAAAAAAAAAAAAAAAAGTAGGGTGCTTTTGTGAAAAGGGCACTTTGAATTTTGAAAGGGGGCTCACTTAACATTGTAAATATTTGTCAAAATGTGCAATATAATGTAATAACTGAATTTTATGCTCAGTAATTTTTAAATTATCCTTTCATACTATTTTATGAGTATATTTCAAACAGTAATTATCTTTCATTATCAAAATAAGAGAAAGATTTGTTGTTAATAAAAATAATTAATGGCATGCTAAGGTATTTATTTAAATAATTAATTTTAAAATCTCTTAAAAAAAATTAATGCTCTTCCCCCGAAAAAAGATACTTATAAAAATTTAACCTGCTGAGAATAATCCTGACAAAGTAAATATTTGTAATAGTAATCAGAATTAAACCTATAAGCACAAATAATTTCACCAGTGTGTAATTATTATTTAAAAACATTGACTAAATTTTTTCAATATAGAATTAGAATAAAAAGGCAATGTTTTTTAGGAATGGCGGCTTACTTTTACAAAGAGGACATATTTATTGGGTTCAAAGTGCAAGCAGGGCGGGGGCCCCCTTCAAAAACAGCCTAGGGAGGACACTCATATATTTATGTGTATTTAAGTCTAGTTATATTGATAATAGAGGTTTTAACCAAAAAAATAGAGGGCAAAGAGTGCTTAGATAAGATGCAAATGGAATGTAAATTTTAAATTATTAATTTTCATTTGTTTGTAAAATAATTTGCAACTAAAGAATTAAGTGTTTATATGAGTTATTATTTTTGAATGTTGAATAAATTCATTTAGTATAAAAAAAATCCTTTTTTTTTCTTATTTTTTACAATTTTAATAACAGCTTGCATTTTAATGTTTCATCGAATTATAATTTTTAAAAGCATCACTCGGATTGATTAAACTTTGCAAATATTTTTAAATTTTCCAACTGGACTTATTTAACTTTCAAAAAAAAAATGGCACTTATATTAGTTGATGTATTTATTAAATTAAGAGTTGTTTTACTAGTATGAGTAATTTTGAAAAACTTATATTTTTGATTTGAATTAATTTGCTCCTCATACGATACCTAACTGAAAAATCATGAGAGTGTTTAGGCATGAATAAAAATAACTGAATAAAGCGTTTTTAAGAAGCAGCATCTAGTTTTGATTTTTTAGCTGATTTAATTGAATTAAGCTAATTTCCTTGATTTATATTCTTTAAACAATTTCAAATTATAACCTTCGGATTTTTTTAGTAAATCCAAAGTGCGAACTTCAACTACTGAAGCATTTTTTTGTTAATTACAATAAATGATCAATTCTATATAGTCATGCTGTAAAAGACCTTCATAAGTTTTTTTCCTTTGAAGGCTTTATATATAGCTAAAATAAGATAGTTTGTAATAAAAAAAGGTTTATAATAAGAAAGGGAGGGAAAAAAAAACACTTAGGAATTTCTTAGTTACACAGAATTATTTGGATGAAAGAGGTTTGAAAAATTGAGGTTTTACTTACTTTTCTTCTGTTCAAAAAATATAGACAAAATTTTTTAACTAATTTTGTCTTATTTCTTAAAATAATTAATTCTGTACCAAGTTCAATTTGAAATTTTTTATTTAGGTCAAAATTTGTTGAACAATTTTTGCTTTTACTACTTAAAAAACTTTTTTATGTTTGTTTTAATAGCAATGTTTGTTAACATATAGCACTTCTAAGACACTAGTATGATCATTGATGACCCAAAATCTTATTTTGATGATAATTTTTTGTTATTTTTAACCACAGTATGCTTGACCTTTGCTATTATCTTATGTAGGGTAAATTTGACCACTTTCTGATTTGTTAGGCTGCACAAATTTTGGCTAGAGCTCTGTGTAATAATTTGACAAATTCGTCGACAGCCAAATCAGAACTAAGATAAAATAGAAATTTTTAAGCCAAGTGTATGTAGTAGACTAAAAATGAGAAAAAAAATTGCTAGTTTTTTGGAGAAATTGGCGAAAAGTATGCTTCAGAATGAATTGGGTTGTATATGAACCTCAGGTGCCATTGGAATGAAACTTATTAAGCTGCCATATTGTCTTTTTTGCTTTGTTTTTGTGGCAATACTAAATACAGTTAAACCTCCAGAAAAGATCACCTCTATGTAGCAACTTTCTCTTTTTACGACCACATTTGGAAGGCACATAATTTTTTCCATAGACTTAGTGTTGAAAAAAGCTTTTGGGAGAGATCACCAAAACCTGTGCACTAAATGCAGAAAAGGCCAAATAAGGAAACATGTAGAAGTATCAAAACAAAAAATATTAACAAAACAAATTAGCAAATTAAGATGTATTCAAATATATTTGGTGAGCTCTTTTTGATGATCTGTGACTACAACCTCATATTGCAGTCAGGATGCACTAAAGACAAAGCTATGAATGGTTTATTTTTAGAGTTTAAGGTTAAATAAAAAGTTATTTTAGAAAAAATACTAAGCATCTCAAGCAAAGAAACATCTCATCTTTTACAGCAAACTAATTTTTATGATGTAAAATTAAATACAAACTTAAACAAAAAACATAATTGTTATTTATTTAAAATAGTTCTATCATTGATAGATTTGTTTTTACATATAGCAGTCAGGATCATTTTTATCGGTTCTAAATTTTATTCATCAATCCGATTTTCATGACGCCAACACAAGTGGCATTTCCTCATTAAGAAACTGACACTAACTAAAATTAAAATCGTTTTAAAAAATCTTGTGCATCTGATAATATCTCGAAGTCAATGATAAACAACTAAGACCCACCAACCTCCATTTTACTGGGGAACAGAGAGGTTTCGCTGTACAAAGTTTAAGCAAATGACCCCAAAACCATGCTTAAGATCAAAACTTCCATTTCAGTGATTATAAAAAACATTAGGCTTCTACTCTTCAATGAATTATGCAGATGCAAGTGATTCCGTTAATGTTCTACAGTCTATCAAGTATGAAAAAGGTTTACGGGTCATCTAGAACTCTTTATTCTCCCTCAAGAAAATGCAAAATAATGTGCCAGTTGAGTTAGATGGCAGAATTGAACCTAATTATAGAAGAAGAAAAAAATTTACCCCGTATTGATAACAGAAAGAAGATGTGAAAATAATTGTGTGTTACATTGCTATTTTAATTAAAAACTTTGATTTCATTTATAACTTGTTTTTTTTATATTTTAAAGTTCTTTGTTTAGTCATTTGAAGGAATCCTTATCAATCAACTTACTAAGAGATGTATTAGAAAGTAGAAATTTGTCTTCTCATTTACTCAATATCAAAAAAAAAATTTTTTTTCCTTTTGGAAACTGCTTTTCCCCTCTTTTCTCTAACTTCAATTTTTGAAGCATCACATAAAGCGAAAATTTATTTCATTTCACCTAGAATTCAGTACTTTTTTAAAAATTTAAAATGTTTTTGATTAGTTATATTATTTTATATGTGAACCCACTTTTGTTAAAAAGGATCTGGAAATTTGTTTCCTAATTCCCCTCTTTTCTCAAACTTTAATTTTTGAAACATCACATGATGTGGAAATTTATTTCATTTCACCTACAACTTAGTAATTTTTTAAAAATTAAAATGTTTTTAATTATTTATATTATTTTATATGTGAACCCACTTTTGTTAAAAAGGATTTGGAAATTTGTTTCCTAATTCTAGTGATAAAGAGTATCAAGAAGTAGTACCTAAAAAGTATTCCCTAACTGCCGATTTTACTGAGATCGAAACTGCCATTCATTGCTCATCGAAATTGCCATTTGATATCTTAACACTTCAAAAGTTTGCAGAATTTAGCTATTTTTCTGCATCGGAGCATAGTCATTGATGACAAGTGTAATGAACATGCCATTAACAAAATTTGAATACCAGTACCTAATTAGTTATTCCCATAATTTGATATGGAACCAATAAATGTTTATTTTTTTTCCTTTTTTTTCAGTTTTGGGTTGAAAAATAAAATTATTCAGCAGTAAAAAAATTACTCTTACTGAATTACTCCCATAATTTAACTTGCGAGAGTTTTCGATGATTATCTGCAAAATTTTTGTAATTTTCAAGATACTTAGTAACAAACGCAAGATATGCTTCTGTTTCTAAGCTCAGTTGCATAAAATTTTTGCATTGAAATTAATAATATTTGCATAAAATTTGTGAACAGCTAGTTAATGAAAATCTTATTTTTTATTTCACACAACTCAATAACTGTCACTCTGTAATTAATAGTGTAGATAAAAATCTTGACAAAACGGAAAATTAATAATATTGATATAAAGTTCTTTTTTGAAGTGATAGTATTTTCTTATGCGTTCAGCTAGTTGGTGTAATTAATCCAAGTCATTAGTTAGTCCATAGCTGAAGTAATATCTTTTTGCACAAATGAGGGTAGGGTTAACTTTGTGCTATTTATGAATAAAACAAAACATGAATACAGCACAAATAATGGTACATGAATGGACAAAATGTGCTTTATTCACATTGTTTTTATTTTATTGATATATTGTATCAATTTAAACTTGCGAACTCATTTACTGTTTCACTTAGCTTATTTTATTTACATTTCCTCCATTTCTTTTAGGAATATCTATAATAAGCCCTCTTGTACAACAATCCATCAATTAAAAACTATCAATCATGTTGTATCTTGAAGATTACTTGGAAATGATTGAACATCTACCTCAGGAATTAAGAGATAGATTTACAGAGATGAGAGAGATGGACCTGCAAGTACACAACGCTACAGACAACTTAGACGAAAGAGTGAAAGTGTTCTTCCCAAATGCCAAAAAACTAAAGCAAAGTGAGAGGGATGCAGAGTATGAGAAAATTAGGATCGAATATTACAAGGCACTCGAAGATGCTGATGAGAAAGTACACATAGCCAACCAAATTTATGAATTAGTTGAAAGGTACATACGAAGGCTAGACCAAGAACTGCAGAAGTTTAAAATGGAATTAGAAGCAGATAATGCAGGGATAACTGAAATGTTAGAAAAACGGTCTCTCGAATTAGATAATCCACCACCCCCTGTTAATTCGTTATCTTCGAATTATTCGAGAGGAGAAAAGCGGAAACATGGTCAGCAAAATTTATCCATTACATATACAATGGACAAACAACAAATTGGAACTGATAAAGTGTTCTCCTCGATAGCTACAGATGTCATCAGGGACTCCATAACTGGAAATAGGGTAACTTTGCCGGGTCATTCTCCGTCGTCTTCGTCCACGAGCAGTAGTAGTTCGACTAGCTCTGCTCAAGAAAGGACTATAGTTCTACCTCCTCAAACTAAAACTACCTTTGGGGGCACCAATGCTTTGGCAGCGGCCGCCTCTCAAGCGATAGCTGCCACGCAACAATCTTTAAAACGAGGCTCTGCTCAAAATCAGTCAAATTTAGTACAACAAGGACGTCGCACTGCGAGTTTAAAAGCCAGTTACGAAGCCGTGAATGCGGGACAAACTCTCGGCAAAGAACTGACCTTGGGCAGTCGAGAAGCCACCCCTACTCCGATACAATCTTCGTCTACCAATACAGTTCCTATAGTTAGTGAAACAAAAACTAAAGTCAATAAGAAAGCTCGCACAAGTCAGGTGATACAGCCGCCTCCCGAACCATCACCTTTGTTGGAAGATTCGGAAGATTCTTCTGCAATTGAGGAAAATGCCATGTTTTTAGATGGTTATGATCCCAATGAGCCAAGGTATTGTGTTTGCAATCAAATATCATATGGAGATATGGTTGCCTGTGACTATAAAGACTGTCCGTTTGAATGGTTTCATTATCCCTGTGTTGGTATTACCCAACCGCCAAAAGGCAAATGGTTTTGCCCGCAGTGTTCAGCTTCCATGAAACGAAGAAATAGGAAAGAAAAATAACAAAAAATTATTGTAATTAATGAAAATTTACTTTGTGATATTTACTTAGTTTATACAAATTGCCTCTTTTTTTATTTTACTTTTTTCCACCATTTGATTTTTATTTTGCCTCTTTAGGAACGATGAATAAATTTATTTAAGTGACTGCTCCTTTTGAGTATTTCTTATTTAAAGAAAAAAACAATTTGTACATACATATCTCAAAGGTGTCCTTAATTATTAAACATTTCAATAAATATGCTGAAATTTTTATAATTTTCCAAATTTTTATAAAAGTAACAGGAAGAATAAATATTATATGTCTAAAAAAGAATTGAACAAATTTCAAATTCAAAAATTATGTTATGTTACCATTAAACAAAGTAAATAACAAAATGAACAACAAAGTCTTCGTAGCAATTACCCTTGATTTGATGGCAAAAATGCATTTGATGTGGGAGAAATATATAAAAAGCTTCTACCTCTCTATTTCCCCCTCATCACTATATCATACTCAGCTGTTTTTCACTAGCGAATCCACCTATTTAAGTACTACTTAACGATTTTCCATTTTTAAGAAATTTTCTCCCCCTTTTTTGTAAGTAAAAATTTAAAAAAGAATTTTTTGCACAACTTAAAAATCTGAGTTTTTAAAAATATTTATTTTTTCACTTACGTACAGGAACTACTAAAACTATTACACCTATTTTATGCCTGTTAATCCATGCCAGTATCGTACAAATTGCTCCCAATAGAGAATCAGTATCCTTAAATTTGGAGGCAATTTTGTCATTATTTTTTATATTTTGGATTGCCAGTCCTATTATCTTTCGTTTACACAAGACTTTTTTTTTAAAAAAATTCTAAGATCTCTTCTCAAATTCAAATAATTTTGCTATTAACAAAGAATTTCTTCTTTTTGAAATTGTATCTGTTTTCATGGGCATTGGACAAATTCTTGTACTTTTCATCATAACAATATGTTTACCTTTTTTCAATGTTTATTATTTTTTTTTATTGATGCCTCACCTATTATGTTTGAACACTCAAACTCCTAAATTCTATTTTTTGAGTAACTACTTTTGTTAATTTTAAGATTTCACTAAATTCTTTGAGGCCTTCTGGTTGGGGGCAGAGAATCTGGATCTTGGTGAGGTTGCTGCTAAAGCGAGTATAGTTTTCAGCATATCTTACAGCTGCAGTTCCTAATTTCTTTTCGGTTATGGAACCTTAAATGATGGGCCTTCTTTTGGTGGAACCCCAAATTGGAATAATATATTGTTGGCAAAGCCCAAACAAAAACTACTGATTTTTAAATAGTACTTATTTTGAAAATATGAGTAATGAATTTTCTTCATTGTTTTATTAATATGAGGCTTAAAATCAGACAGTTGAATTCACAGGTCAAAATCGTCATCTAATTAACTTTCAAATTTGTTTATTATTTTTTTTATCAATGCATAAACTAAAAACATAGCTGCCGACTCCTGGTCAACTGGTTTAATAAAAAATCTAATTTTTGCACATTTTAGAAAATTCTCTAAAATTGAGTAAATTTCCTAAAAAAAAATTCCTATTGAAATAGAATTTTTACACAAATTATTGCTTGCTTGGATATTTAAATAAGTATTACTAATGCATAATTAAACAAGTTTCATTTACAGAAATCAGTTTAAAAATTTTTTGTTCTAAATTGTTCAGTTTATTTTTATCTAACTCTCCTTTTAACTAAATAAAGAAGTGTTTTTACTATCATTTAATGTCTATTACTATTCAAAATTAAATGCACAATACGTAACATTTCAAGTATATTTAATGTCAATCATAACTGGAAAATATTGCAGTTTTTCTATTTTGATGACTATAAAAATTTCCTATTTATAAAATATTTAGTACATCATGTAACGATTATCATGAAATTAATTTCATTTCTTAAAATCTACTGGATTTTTTCCTATCCATGTTGGCAACTATGTGAAAATTAATAAAATAAGCTGAATTACTGAAGCTTGAATACAAAAAAGAATACCATATATGCGCGTAGAAGTTGACTTTTCAAACACCTAAAATACTAAGAAAGTCGAGGGTATAGTTGGACATTCGTTTATCGTGAAATATTAATGTGTTATAAACAATGAGATAGATATTTATAACTCAATATCAATTTACCTCTTCCAAAACTTATTTTTTATGTGTTATATAAAATTAATATTGCATTTTCTTTCATTAAATTTTTTGTACATGTAATTTTTTTTACCAATAATTATTTTAAATTATGTTCTAAAAAAATAAGAGAAAAATTTTGATAATTTATTCAGGAGGATTTTAAAAAATCTAAATCAATGAAAACTTTTGAAACATACCAGAAATCTACCACATTAAAGATTCCAAAACATCATCTGTCTTAGATTCAATAGTGTTAGCAGTGGATTCTATATCATCGTGGTCTCACAGTGGACTGATCGTAAAGATACGGTCGCCAGTAGGGCACCAAAGTCGAGCATCACTGGCTGCTGTCAGTAAGTGGGTGGGTGACCATTTGGATCAGTGTGGTCTCCTGGAGTGATTTCTTGAGTAAAAATAAATAAATAAAAAAGTTCAAACCAAAAAATTTAAACAAGGTTATTTCCTTTTTCTCAATATTTCCTAGTTTATTTAAAATTTTACACATTCCTATGATGACCTGGAGAAGCAATTGAAATTTACAAATATGTCTTTCTTTCTTGAGTTTATGATTATAACTATTTACTGATAAAAAATGAATATTAATCTTGAATCTAAGCTAAGCTCTCTTACAAACAAATAAAATAAGCTGTGTTTTCAAGTTCCACCTTTGAAAATTTGATTTTCGAAAACTTTTGTGATCAGCGATTTTTTGAAACATCTGAACCTTCGATCTTCCGATCACGGTTAGCGAGCACAATCAGCCCTGGGTCTCTATATTTATGTTTATGAAAATTCCTTGGCAAAGAGATGGGTGTTGACGGGTCTGTTTTAGTTGCATGAATTGTAGAGGCTTTTGTCAAATATTTATTTGCTTGCACAATAAGATCTTTACACTTATTTGTTTGCTCTAAGTGGTTTTGAAAATGCTAAATTGTGTTAACGAAACGTTGTCACACATGTGATTCTTCCGCCAATTTAATTTCTTTGTCGGGTTTTTGCAGTTTTTAATATTTTAAACTATTCCAGAATCTGCTAATATTGCGATTCATATTTACCTGATTTTAATATCAATTTCGACTTTCGTATTTACCTGATTTAAAAACCTATAGTAATATAATAACCTTTGTAAACATTATTTTAAAAACGAATATCACGATTCCTGTAGGAACTAAGTAGGAAATTAATAATTAAAAAGGTATGATATTCTGCATTGGTAGGTATTAAATATAAATCTTTGCTCAAAAAATTATATTAAACATATATAGCAGGGGTGGACAAGTTCCTTAATAGTCGAGCCATTTTTCAAAATTTGAAATTTTTCGCGAGCCGCAATTAAATACGTATTTAAAAGGTATTAAAATTTTTTTATAGAAATTATATTTATTGAAAACATATAAATAAACATACAAAATATGTGTATTGAATTTAAATATTAAAAATTACACACATTTATTTTACTTCTCTTGATAATTCTTTAAAATTTGGTGAATATATGGTGACAGCACTTCTCAGTAATTCTTTGAGATGCTGGTTAGTTAATACTGATCAGTGTATGGATTTCACGAATTTTAAAGTGGAATAAAATGATTCACATAAGCACGTTGTTCCGAATATTGAATTAATTCGACAAGCGGCCTTTTTTTAAAATTCAGGATACTTCGATTCTGGTACATATTTCCAAAATTCAGTAGTCGACGTCGACTTATATTTTAATTGTAGAGCTTGATCGTCTTGCATCTCTATTAATTCTAATTCTTCAGATGCTTTTTGGGTCATAATTATATTGGAAATGGAAAACTCACCTTGAATTATGTTAATTTCAAATGGATTCAGAAAAATATTAAAATAATATAGCACAATAGTGAACTCGGGTACATTTATCGAGAGCCACAAATAATCCCTCAAAGAGCCGCAGGTTGGCCACCCCTGATGTGTAGTATATAAATTGATATCGAGTGTTTGCACCAAAAATTTTCAGGGTTTTCGTGTCACAATTACCCCTGGTGCAAGGATGAGATTCTTCCGCTTTTTCCATTTTTCCCGCTGAAATTTTTTTTGCACAAGTTAAAATATTTTATGGGGAATTTAATTTTCCACAGAGCGAAATTATTTAAGTCCTCATTCCTCCCTCTGAAGTTTCTCTAAAAATCATTTCCTTCGGATAAAACTGGTTGACCTTTATACAGGGATGAGATTTTTTTCACCTTTGTCTCTCGAATTTCATCCTTTTTTTTTTTATCAAAAACTCAGATTCTCTAAAAGTTTTTTTTTTCTTTATTTATTTATAAATATCCCGTTTTTTTTAAAAAAAAAAAAAATTCAGTCGTTGAAGTCAAATTATTATATTTATTTACGATTTTCAAAGAAAAACAGAAAATTCAAACTACGTCCTAGCTTCTAATCCTTCCGCATGTTTACTTATATTAGCTATTTTCTCCGATTTCACGCACAGAAAATAAGATTTTCTGTATTTTTTATCCGTCGGCGGGATAGCTCGTATTTTTGTAATTTAGACGTCGATGCTTCTTGTATTCTGGAGTGAAAGCAAAAAAAAAAATAGAGGTGGATTTGCGATGAAAATATTTCTTTGCTCATTCAATTAATCTTGTAAATTTTTATTTATTGTGTAAACTAAAAACAATTCAAACAAGCCTTTTAGAAATCCCAAGTCCAGACTCTGCAAATATCTAGATTTTTATTCACCGATTTTAATAACAATCATCGATTTTCGTATTTACCCGATTTAAAAGTTGCGCATTGCAATTCTTATTTACGCTTTTTAAATATCGTACATTATGACTCGCATTTACGAGATTTAAAAATCTAATATCGTGTTTTGTATTTTTGCATTTTTAAAATCGCGAATTTATTATCAAACATCGATTTTCGTATTTACCTGATTTAAAAGTTGAACGTTGCGATTCTTATTCAGGCCATTTAAATAATGTACATTGTGATTCTTATTTACGAGATTTAAAAAACCAATATCCCGATTTGTATTTACGAGCTTTTAAAACCCTATGTAGCTACGCGAGCTTAAAATCCAATGTCGTGATTCGTTTTTGCGGTTGTAATATCGCACGATTTTAAAATTATGCATCTTGATCTAAAAATTACGCATCATGATTTATATTTTCGCATTTTTTAAATTTGATGTAGTTTCATATTCATGTGATTTAAAAGCCTCATATAGGAATTTATAATCACATGGTTTACAAATCACACTTTTTTTGTCAAATTTTTGTTTATATATATATTTATTTATTCTTGGTTTTCCTCTTTTTTACTTTCTGCTTACTCACATCCCTGCCCTGGTGTCGAGCACAACAATTTTATCTAATAGATGTTGTATTAAAAATAAGCAGATTGTATCAGGGATTCTATTTTTAGCAAAATATCCATGGCAACAAAGACTTATTAAAGTTTATATAGCATATATTGAACTACTTCTTTGTCAGAAAAAGTAAATATTGGTGGATAGTTTATCGAATAGTAAAAGTTTTATAATTTTACTTTCACTTTATTTTATTTTTAAGTTTTAATAGATTTTATATATAAATATACATCTGTCATAATTGTGAATAAGTCTTAGTAGTAAAGGATATTTTACTTCTTTTGTAAACAAATTGGAAAACAATTGGACTTTTTAATAGCAGATTTTTCTATTTTCAGTCAAACTATAAATACGATTTCTGCTCAAGTTTCTGTCTGTATACATATCCATATTATGTGTATAAAACATCCATATTAAAAAACACAGCATATTTCTTATTTTAAAACCTATTTGTCATATTGAAAGACACATCGTGCTAATGAGTTTCACTTAACCATTTGCTCCTGGAAACCTAACACCTGCTGTAAGCAAAAGGTTATTTTGATTTCTTTGAAATTCTTGCATGTTAGGTAAAAAGAAACAATAATTTTGACGAGATAGTCAAAATGTTCAGTACAACAAAAAATTATCTCCTCTATATAAATGTAACTAAAATTTAAAGCTTGGGTACACTAAGCATGATGATGCAACTGTCTAAAAGTACAATCAGCATAAGTGATTACAAATTTTCTTTGCTAAAAGTGCAACTTAGATAAGTTTAAAAAAGATAGAATTGGTTACATTAAAGTATCAAATAACGGACTGAAACTCTTGCTTTGTGTGTAAATATAGTGAGGTCAAATTTATTGGAATGGATATAGCAAACAATATTGTTGCCAATTGCTGTTATTTAATAAAAAATCTAAATTTTTTGGTGGTATTTTCAATTTTCCACTAAAAATTGAAGTAAAAATTAAATAGCTAAATGTCAAAGAAAGCTGTTCTGTTTTCTCCTGTGATTACTACAGTTATTATTATAATTACACAAATTTTTAAATATTTTCTCAAATTAGTTTGTCATTTTTAAGCAAATAATAATCTTGATTACATCCAAAAAAGTTGTGCAAAATTTTTTGGAAATATATTTTAAAGAATGAAGTATATTAATGGAAATACATTTCTTAATAAAATATAAGATAGAATGAAAAATGTAACTTTTATTTTATAGTTATAGAGTGATAAAACATAATTTTACTCGTCACGTAAAATATATGCATTAAAATGACTTCAAATTTTTCTTCTAAATAGAATAGTGCAAAATATGGATGTCTATAACTGTGAAATATAATGTACAAATATTAAAAGCAATAAAAAATCTATTGGTGTAACAAAATTTCGGTAAGAATTTAAACACAAGAAAATAAATTTTCACTCTTTCAGTGCACTACTCTGTCATTTTATTAAAATAAAAAACATGGTTCATACAAACAAATAACAGTAAAAATGAGATAATGTAAAATGTGTGAGGCTAAATAAAAATGGATTACACTTAAAGTAAATTACTATTGCAAATTCTGTGACATAAGGCTCACAAACACGAAGTAGGCGATTAAGTAGTGCTATCATAAATTGTCAAGAATTTTTTTAAATAAGATTTTTAGTTCAAAACATAGGTAACTGTATTATTGATCTAATATGGAAAAAAAAATATATTTTGACACAATTACAATTGTTGCATAGTGGTTAGAGGGACATAAAAAACTGCAGTTTTTATACTAAATTTTGCTCTTATTTTGAAAAATTATTTCATACATTATTTAAGTTTACTCTAAATTTATAATTCTAAAACCCCTGTTTACCAAAAATAAAGTTTTAATTAAGGCAGTTTCACAGAAAAAAAATTAACATTAATTATAACTAATAAATTAAAAATTTTATACTTCTTATTTTATCCCAGGGATGGCTACAAGTTATACCTTTCAAATTGTTCCTTTTCTGTGATTTTTTTTAAAGTTTCTCATTAGTCACTGCATGGAAGTTGCCAAGACTTGGCAATTATTCTACCACAGATCACAATATGGAAATCTCCCCAAAATATGTATAAATTATTTTCTACATTTTTTTAAGTTTACTTTAAATTTCTAACATCCCTGTTTACCAAAAATAGTTTTAACTAAGGCAGTCTTCAAAAAAAAAATTGTGTCGGACACCTCAAACATAATTAACAACATAAATTATCTCAGTCATTTCATCCTTATATTTTTATTTCAACTTGATGACTACGTTAGCGAAATCAGGTCTGGATAATACTTTAACCTTAATTTAGAGATATTTAAACACCAAAGAATACCAATACAAAAATATAGTTGGTAACTTTTATTAATAGGAGATTTTTTCGTATCATGATCTGTCACACCAACTACGATCGTCAGCCAAGGTGCCAAATAGATTTTTAAATTGCAATTTTATAAAAAACATGTAGATGATTGCCGGGTGGCGACTACGAGTTATACCCTTTCTGCGATACTTTTTTTTCTTCAAGTTTTTCGCTGGCCGCTACCCGGAACTAGCCAAGACTTGACAATTATTCTGCCACAGATCACGACATGGAAATCTCCCCAATTGATATGAGAATAGACAAACAAAAATAGCTCTCTTTTCAATCTAATAATGATTTGATATTAAATGAGTCGAAAACTAAGTTTCTTAGTTCACACTGAGAAATGCCTTGTATCTGAGAGCAGCACTATATACAAATTACTAAATGCTTTTTATGTTACTAACTTCATTTTTGTCCACAAATTTACAAAGAATAATGTAACATCTTTCTTCTTCCTCATAAGGGCTCGTTTCATCCCGTCTAAACTGCAGAGCTTTCAAGTAAAAATTTATCCCTGCCCTGTTGTTTGTAAACACAGTTAACATCACTTTAACCAACTTAAATTTAAAGGCAATAAGTGTTAAAATGTTCATTAAAAATCGACCTAGACCTTTTCGCTGATAGTCACTTTCAATTTGTAGTTCGTAACAGTACAATACAGGGTAATTTGTTTCAACATCAAATTGGAAATGTGTGAATCCGACTAATTTATCCTCGGAATCTTTAACGACCAAAAATCTGGCTTCATCAGAAGTGAGTTCAGACATTTTCTCGTCTGCATTCCAGCCCCAATCACTTTTATCATACAGATCTTTCATATTCTTTTGAAGCAAATCGAATATTTGATTCACTTCTTCGGTTTTCAAATCTTTAGCGTTACTGAAGCTTACTTTTAAGTTCATGTCATGCTTGTTATAAGTCGTCCACTCTTTTAAATCATCCAGAAGATTAGTAGCAAGCTTTGCAGCATTTACTAAAGCTAAAATTTGAGCTTTCTTTCCTTTTTTCGTAAGTCTAGGTTTAGGTCGCTGTCGTCCAGGCATCTTGAAAGTACTAATTACTTATACTCTACTTATAGAAGGCTATACCCCTTTCAAGTTAATACTACAGCTATAACTATATTAAGTTACTTATATATAATTATAGAGAATTGTGAAATATTTATAACTAGAATATTAAATAAGAAAATCAGTGCTAGGCTATATGAAGCGAATTTGCCCGCGCAAGATAACAATAAAAATATAAACAAAACGGAGTTGAGATGTTTTTAATTTTAGAATCAATCTAACAGTTAAAAAGCCTTAGTTCAGAATTTTTGCAATGAAATTTTTTTTTTAATTAAAAACTACAAGTCATGGGGATTATTATTGTTTTAATAATTTTTACTTTTTAATTAAGTTTAAATTTTCGAATTTTTTTTTCTTTCATAACCGTGATTACAAAAAAAAAGTCAGTCTTATCGTTCATATCATTTTTCAGTTTATTCGTATTTTTACGTTTCCGTACGAAATATTCATGTTACCATATACCCCAGTATTCCCTCCCAGTGACCCCAGTGTTTGTATTTTTAAAACTGTTGCCCAGGTAACAGACTACAACAACATTCAAAAGTGTTTATCACTATCACATTTCCAACTTATCTTTAACATTTCAATCATGTCTTAAAGCGATAAAATTTGATAATTAAGACTCGTGACCGATAAAAGTTAAAGCTATTGACCAGCAGATAGTATTTTTCAGAATCCACCTTGAAAGATGAAGTTCACACTGTGCATCTCCATTCTCTTACTGTCATTATGGCAAAGTATATATTTTTTAAAACTTTTTCTTTTTAGTTGTTAGCTATATTTAAATAACTATATAATTAGCTATATATAAAATTTGTTTTTATATTAATATATTTTGTCACATTAAAGATACTCATTAAATAAAGGTCTTTTCTTATTGTATTAAAAAGGATGGCGTTTATTATTATAACCTTGCTTTCAATGTAATAGTTTTTATTTGTTTTATCTCTCTATTTTTTAAATAGAAATTTGAAAAAGCTATAACTTGAAAATTCTTAAAAGGAAATCATTGATATGAAGTATCAATGTAATGTTTTGATTGTAATTTATATTTTGAGAATTTTTTTGCAAATTTAATAAAATTATAATTTTTAGTTATGGAATTACTATAAAAATTGCTGGTTTTTATAATTTCATGTGCTGAATATTTTTATGATTAGAAAATATTTCATTTCTATAACCTATAGTATCTACTTGACAACCAACTGATTTGCCTTGGATTTTCTATGATATGATTTCTTTTTTATTTATAAAGCATATTGTTTATTAACTGGTATTTTTTACCTGTTGTACTTTCCATAAGTGAATAATTTTTCTTTAGATGAGCGAAACTAAATTCAACAATTTTTTAATTTTATTTATTTATTTTACTTTTTTGGGACATATCCATTCTATTTTGTGTTTAAAAAAAAGTACTTTTCTGTTTGCTAAGCTCATTAAAATTTTTAAAAAAAATTAGTTGTGGGGGGTGGTGGCATCTATTTTGTTTGTGTTTAAAAAAATACATTAAAATATTTAAAAAAAATGATGTATTTACTTGTGCCCAACTAAATGAAAAGCATCAAGAAATAACAGTAGTAAAATAAAGATAATCTTATTTGCAACTGGCTAATTCAAAAGTACCTATAAGTATTTATTTTAAACAGCAAGATAATTTTTAAAAAGTATTACAGTAATTTTAAAAGAAAAACAATGTCGAGGAGCTTTTATCTATTACTTCAGAAGATGCAGCACCTTATTCTGAGGATAACTCTTTATTTTTCAATGTAAATAATGACTAAAAATTTCAAGTTGATAATCTTTTTTGTTAAGTACATTTTATCTTTTACTTTACATTGTATCTTATTTGCATTGAAAAACAGATTGCTATTCTTTGACCTTTGGCAGAGAATCACATTTTGCACTTTTTTGTTTAATCAACTGGTTGATAAGTAACCTCTTATTCAGTATATGTATATTGAATACAATTGAACATTCATATTCTAAGTAATTTCTAAAGTTTATGTCTATATAATGATGTAATTTATTGTAAATATATTTAAAAAAATTGCACTAATTCAACATATAATCCTAGTTCAAAGATGACAGAGTTGACTAATTGTTTCCGGACAAAATTAAAAAGATAGAATCACTGTGATTTTCTAAACTACGCTTGTAAAAACTTCTTTATCTGCTTATTTAGTACAACACTTATCAGAACACATCACATGAATCCTAAAAGTCTCCTCTGATTTCTGTCGATTTTTATTGTTGTGAAAAAGTATTTTATTTTAAAATATTTATGGCAACTACATTGTGCTTGTGTATGTGTATATATATATAATATGTAACATAAAAAGCTTCTATTAATCTTTTTATACTATCTGAATTAATTATTTTAATCGAAATACTTTCTCACACTTTTAGAAATCACATCCTGTTCTTAAATCTATTTTTGGCTCAAGTATGCATTTAATTAAAAGCAGGACATTTCCCCCTTTAATCTTCATGGGAATCACTCGACCTATTGCATAAACCAATAGTAATTTCTAAGATTTCCCTCTTTTCCCTAAATAAAGACATTTACGGATTTTACTTTGCAAGATTTTCCCTAACATATAACCAAGGAGCGCAGCTTTTCGTGTACACACTTTCTAATAGTCTGATACACTTTCTCTGTCTAATAATTAATAAATAAATTTTGTACCCTCCTTTCCAGCCTAAGACCTGTTTTAATCCTTCCACTCGGCAACGACGTTATATATATATATATATATATATATATATATATATNATCCCGTTAAATATTGTATTATATATATATATATATATATATATATATACATCATTGTTCCATAATTTTCCATATTTTGAAAAAAAATGAAGAGATTATATCTTTTTATTTTTTTGTTTCCCAGCTTTTTTAACATATATTTTTTAATTTTTTAAAAATAATTTTTCTTCTTCTTTTTTCATTAATCTTTATTATTTTCTATGTTTTCTCAATATTTTCAACTTATTTTACAAGTTCTATCTACTTGCAGCTTATGGGCAGTGAATATATACAAAACAGTAAAAAACTTGATTCAGCAGATATCTGCGTTTAGTTTTTGACATTTTATTTATTATAGATTTATTTTATCAAGATTGGCAAGTGTGCAAATTATAAGTAACCTTTCTTGCATGAGTCCACTCAGTTGTTGTTATTGGTCAAAGAGTTTCGTGAATCAGTGAAGAGTATTTTGTTTGAAATGGTTTTGGGTAACCTCTGATTCTAATGACTGCAATATTGTACTTAATGTATTATATTATGATTCACCAATAATGTATAATTTTTTTCTTCTCATTAGTATGAGTGTGGCATTCATTGCTAAAAATTATTCTTTAGCTTAATTTTTGTTTAACCAAATTAATTATACTCAGTCCAATTTAGTCCACTGAAAAGCAAGTTTATTGTATTTCTTATTTTTAATATGGCTTTTTGCAGGCCTTAAGTAAAGAAAAAATCATTTCTGTAATTTTAGTATGAAGAGATATTTTTAATGAACCTGCTTATTTTTACTGTAATATATTATATTTTTTTAGGCTATGCTCTTCCTGCTCAAACTAAAACTCCACCAACATTCGACGATAACTACGCTGCTCAAGGTATACTTCTTTTACCTTACGCTGAAATAAAAGAACCTTTTACTGCCTATTTCGATAAGCAGAGTGGAAAGAGTCGTGTTGATTACTATGGAGGTAAGTTATCAAAAACTGACATATTATATTTGCTATAAAAATTTTCACTTTTGTGATTTTTTTATTACATCATTAGTTGTTTTCATACTTTTGGATATAATTTCTTCGATTGAATATGTCGATTCCAGTGGTGTAGCCAGAAAATCTTTCTGGATGGAATTTTGAAATTAATTGTTTTATCATTGATAAATTTTCAATGCTTGATAATTTCTGTAGAAAAGCTTTTAAACTATAAATTAGTTTTGAATAAAATTATACTGAATAATATTTATGAATCTGCAAAAAATACTGATTATGCTTCATTTATTATCAAAAGCATTATTTATTTTATTTACAGCATCATTTATTATTTTATAATTAAAAAGAAATAGAATAGAAAACAAACTGTTTTCTATCTTTAGATACCTAGTAGAACTCTTGACAAAATTACAATACTTCTGAACTCTTTATTTATTTAGTTTTAATCCATGTTAAATTACTGGCCCTCAGAATTTTTTTTTATCGACCTCTGTTTATAAGTACATGTTTTATGTGATACATTTGGTGGAATTTTAAAATTGATAGTCTTAATATTCATAAATCGAGTACCGAGTACTCGACAATTTCTATCAAAAAGCTTTTAAACTATAAACTAGTTTTAAATAAAATTATATTGAATAATATTTATTAATATGCAAAAATTTTGATTAAGCATCATTTATAATTAAAGGCATTATTTATTATTTTATTTACTGTATCATTTATTATTTTATAATAGAAAAGGAATAGAATATAATGAAAGCAAACTGTCATGGCTTTAGATACCTTGTAGAACTCTTAACAAAATTACTATAATCCTGAATTCTTTATTTATTTAGTTTAATCCATATTAAATTACTGGCTGCTGGAATTTTTTTTGCTGCCATCTGTTTAAAGTATACATGTTTTATGTGATACATTCTGTATGATATATAGCCATTCATGTGTTTGTTAAAATTACAGATACTGTGCAAACATATCAACGCACTGATCAGGGAGAATATGGTATCAGTTATAAGGTAGCGTATATGCCTGATAATACTGGAAGTCCCATTCATACTTGCTTCCAAGTAAATGGATCAAGTGAAGTCCCTGTTGAAATTCAAAGCATTCTACCAGATTTAAAAGATTTCAAAGTATGTGAACTTGTTTTATTTGTTTATTTTGTAATTGTGTAAACAGTTATCTCCTGAAGCATTTTTAGAAGGATGACTAGCCATTTCTGTCCTTTTATGTTTATAAATGCGCTCTCTTTGCAAAAATAAGCCCTCATCCCTTAAAAACACTGTCTTTTCTCTTACATTCCATTTTTAAAAAAATAAATAACTCACTGTTTAAATAATTATTATACACTGGTAAAATTATCTGTGTTTATAGGTTTAATTCTGATTACTGTTACAAATATTTGCTTTGTTAGGATTATTCCAAACTCGTTGAATTTTTATAAATTTCTCTTTTTTTCAGGGACATATATATATTTATATATAAAGTTCAAAATGTAGAGAAAACTTGGAAAAAATTACAGAACAGTGAAAAAAGGGAGGAAAAGAAAAATAATATAAAAAATAACAAGAAACTGGGGGGGGGGAATCCAAAAAAGGGGGGAATGAATAAAAATCCAGAAAACAAAAGATATAATCTTTACATCAGCTCACATTATTATGTCCGCAAAAAGGAGTGCTTTCTAATATTGTATCAATATAGCCAAAGCAAAATACATCAATACAATAGTGTGAGAAGCACTCAAAAAAACTATTTACTTGCAGCTTATGCACAGTAAATAAAACTTATTGTTTTTCTTAATTTTCTTTGTGTTTTTTTTTCCTTTTTGTATTTATTTATTTTGCTCTCTCTCTATATATACAGGGGTCTGTCCAGACATTTTGTGAAAGGTCCTGTTTTTGTAAAATTGTGAAAAAACTATTCATAATTTGTGTATATAAAATAAGCGTTAAGTCACATTCTTTCAACCAGGATCCTGCTTTTGTGCAAATAGGTTCCTGTTATTGCAAAAATTGCTAAAAAACCTCTTAAAGAATTTTTTAATTTGTAAATAGATAGAAGATTATGCTCAACAATTGCTGCTACTAAATTAGAGATGCAACATACAAATATTTGGTATTTAGCCTATACTGCTCAATACAGAATATTCATTTTGGACGAATAAGAGAAACAAAATCACTCACATTTTTACTAATTTCAATTGGCATATTTTAAATAACACAACTTAGTAATGTATCACTTTTAATGTGTTACGCTTTAAGTAAACTTAAACAATTCTTAAATTTGTAACATTTTATTTAAAAAATTTCCAGAAATTAATCTTATTTACATAATATTCTATTAATTAATTTTATGAATAAATATAAATTGATCAATTATTTATTTACAGAAAAAAATTATGATTTAATATTAATAAGAATGCGCACACGATGTTTGCAAAAGTAGAAATATTTTATTAGAATACTACATTTGGAATTTAAACTTAGTTTGTCTCGAGCCGTTTTCTCCCCCCCCCCCCCCCCNCCCCCCCCCCCCCCCCCGCCACAGGAAGACGGTTCGAGATTTACAAAACAATGAAGATAAACAAATTTGCGAAGGGTCCGATTGAAAGATAAATAATTTTGTGAAGGGTCCGTTTTTATGAAAATATATTTTGTGAAGGCTCCTTTAACAGACCCAATTTTCTTCTAAACAGACCCCTGATATATATATATGCAGAATATAGATATTTATATATATATCTACAGAATATTGAATGATAATCTGTATATAATTGCTTACTTTAAATTTCTTTATTTTATATATTTCTTTATTTTTGACCCTCAAAATATAGAGACCACAATTTGGAAAATAGGGTCCCAATAGTTTGGTAAGGAGAGCGAAAGTTTTTTTTTTCTTTTTTTGAAACTTTTTAAGCAAAATGAAATATTTTTGCACACAATTATAAAATTTGTTTATCGATATATAATTCCCTGCCAAAATTTTATAATAACCATTTATTTTTCTTAATAACAGTTAAATAAATTAGTGTATACAAATTTTTACATAATTTTAAAGAATGTAATATTCTACGTTAAAATACAAAATTGGAAAGAAATTGGTCGAATAGTGTCTGAGAAATCGAATTTTAAATATCTTATTTTTTTGAAAATATGATTTTCAGAAAGTACTCAACCGATTTTGTTATAATAAAAAAATACCTTACACACTAATCAATTAGCATGTTTGAAGTCACCCGCATAAACTATTAAATTTCAGTCCTAGTGCGTGAAAATCCTATTGCTGGTTGTGTTTGCCTTGTGCTGTGTTGGATTTTTCTTTCTTTTTTTGCGCATATTTTTTATTATTATGGCAGTTACCTATTACCACAGGAGCTCTGTCACCACAATTAATTAAGTCTCACTGTCGTCAATAACAGTTTGGCAATTTACTTGGCTCCAAAACATATAGGCTTCAAACTTTTTTATCTCGTAATTTTGTGATGTTTAAATAAATTTTTTTTTAATTCTAAATTTATAAATACTTTTCTTTCCAGTATGTGAAAGATGTTTCATGTTATGAAGAAAATTCCCTGATGGTTGACTCTTCTGCAGATTTAATTTGCGAATTATGGTCAACTGAAAGTTCCTATGGGGATAAAGTTAGCAAGTACTCCTTTTACATGGTGAAATCAACTGGTGCACCTTTTCATTACATAATGAAAGGATACAACAGTTTGCTAGGATCACATTATGATAAATATGAGCTCTATTATTTCTCATACACTGCAGGAAGTGCATCTGATAAAGATTTCGAGGTATCTGATAGTAAGTACTAATAATTTATGTAAATTCTTTCTTTCATTGCTCTCTATTTTACTAACCTAAAATAAAACTGTTTATTTCCTTAAATGTATAAAAATCTATGAGTGATATTAAAAGTGTAAACATTTAAAGTACTAATAATTTACATAGGTACTAATAATTGACGTGATTTGTTAATTTCACTGCTCTCTCTTTTACTAACCTAAAATAAAACTGTTTATATCATTAAATGTATAAAAATCTATGAATGATATTAAAAGTGTAAACATTTAAAGTACTAATAATTTACATAGGTACTAATAATTGATGTGATTTGTTAATTTCACTGCTCTCTCTTTTACTAACCTAAAATAAAACTGTTTATTTCATTAAATGTATAAAAATCTATGAATGATATTAAAAGTGTAACATTTAAAGTACTAATAATTTACATAGGTACTAATAATTGACGTGATTTGTTAATTTCACTGCTCTCTCTTTTACTAACCTAAAAAAAACTGTTTATTTCATTAAATGTCTGAAAATATATGATAGACATCAAAACTGTAAGCATTTTAAAATACTAGTTAAATAATTGAAATTCAAGTAATGAAATAAAAATTAATCAAATTATATTTTTTAGCATGGTTTTAGGGATGCGGTTTTCAAATACCCATATATGTTTGATTGTATGTTTGTATATATATTTGGTTGTATATGGTTTATTTGTATGTATGTTTGGTTGAATCACTCTAAGAATATTTCTGCGGGTTAATTCCATAGATCACCATTACAACTATAAGTTAATTGAATAAAAGATGGTTAAGAAATTTTTTTTGTCCATTATCTCAAAAGATCAATGATATTTTTAAGCACCACATGTTTGTAGGAACCAGGCTTCTAAATACACATTTTGAATGATTAAGATGATGTTATTGCCTTTTTTTCAGCATTGCAATGTTCAGGATTCCCAGGACCTGGATCAGAAATCACTGTTTTAAGCAATCCAATGAGAGAATTTGTCAGCAATGATGACACCCATATCCATGAAACTTTTGAAGATTTCAAAAAAGAACATGGAAAAGATTATTCTGATGCACAAGAACATGAAAATCGAAAAAATATCTATCGTCAAAATTATAGGTAATTAGCTGTCTTATAAATGTACTTGCTAAAGGGATGAAGGGTGACATTTAGTAAATTAGTTTTAAGGTTTATACTTAACAATAACTTATAAATTTATTATTTTATTTTATGAATTTTTTTAATATCGAGTATAAATTATATTTTAGAAAATAAAGATTATGTTTTGTGGCTGCATCATTGTCCTTTTTTTGTTTTTTTCTTGAGTTATGATTACCCCATAAAGACGTGAATCCCCTGACGGACTGCTAATTTTCTTTAAGTATAAACAATTTTAATTTATTTAATAATCAATGCGTAAAAGTTATTATTAAGGCAAATAATTAATTTTTTTAATTTTGTTTCTTCAGCCAAATGTTTATACTTTGAGACCTTTAGTTACGTATATTTTAGGTACGTTTAAATGAAAGCAGTAACAATGCTAAACATTTTTATACACTTTCATATTATTTCACTGTTTATGTCTTAGATTCATGATTTTTCTTAGATATTCATAAAAATTGTTTAATTTGAAGACTTATGTAAGCTGAAACAATTTTGTTATATAGGGAACAGTAAGGATCAGTTACTCTGAATTCGCTCGTAGCACAAATAAAAAAGAACTTTTTTTCTGTTTTTAGTAACAAAAAATAACTTTTATCAAAATGGCTTTTAGGTATGTTCAAAGTATGAACCGAGCTGGCTTGAGTTATGGCTTGAAGATAAACCACTTGGCTGACTTTACTGACCTTGAGATGCGCAGAGTTCGTGGACGCTTAGCATCCACTGGATATAACGGAGGTAAACCTTTCCCAAAAGAAGAATTCCCCACTGATGTTCCAGATGAGTTAGATTGGAGATTATATGGTAAATATTGTTTTTTATTTCAGATTCATTCTTATTGCATTTATTATTAAATATTCTTTCCTAGGGTCCCTAACTCTACCTATTGTTTGAAAAGTCAATTTAGAAAGTATAATTTGCTGCATTCTTGGCAAGAAAACATGGCATTTATTTACAACTTTCGATGATAGATGATGCTAGTGATTGCAAATAACTATATTTATCATCTCCTTTACAGGACATTTGATAATCTGCAAGAATTTATTGTCAAGTAAAAATGTTTTGCTGATTATATTTGAATTCTATAGTAGAGAAAGCCTACATGACTGGGTTATAATCAATCAATTTTTACTCATGTTTACCTTGATATGTTTTTTCTAAATCATATTGATAATGATTGCGATTTGCAACTTATTATAATGCAGAGAATGTAATGTGATCTGCAATACAAATAGCCATGTACAATTCGCACATCATGTACGTTAAATAACCATCAAAGCAGATTTTCCGAAATCTGAAGAATGAAATTTGCAGATCTCTCACAACAGGATATGAAGGAGGTAGAATTACTAAATAATAAGGGTGCAGCATTATAATTTTAATTCCATGCTGCCTTGCTATTGTTGTGGACTGTTCCATCTAGAAAGGTATTGGATGCAAGTGGGCATTTTTCCAGAAACAAATACAGCAACCAAAATTTATAGAAATCGAATTTATTCTAATAGCTCTCTTAATTTTTTTACTGATAATAAAATGCATTTAAAAACATTTTGATGCTTCTAGTTTACCGCATTTCATATAAATTTTTATTTTATATTTATTCATTTTTCTTCAGTAGTTAGGATTTTTTTTAAATTGAAATGGCTACAAGTTTCACTCAATTTAAATTTTAAAAAAAAATTTTACTTTAAGGAATACTGAGCAATGACCCTTACACTTGGAGAAAAGAAACATCAATACCAGGCAGAAGTATACCAGGAAATAGCTCCTAAATTTAAAAATACCAAGCAATGGCACTAACATCAATGATGAGTATACAATGTATTGTTTGCCTGTTTAAGCCTTTAATAGAAAGAAAACAATTATTTCTCCCTAATGAAGTAGCGTGGAATTGATTGAATGAAGCTGCATGCTTGTTGTTTAGTAATTTTGCTTAAGCGTCAGAGCAGTGAAAATAACCCTTGACTTTTTCTTCTGCATGTATTACATTTTTCGGAACATCCTGTTGTAGGTCTTATCATTTCGCTTTCATCTTGTAACGGTCAATCACTAGTAAACTGTAATTTTTACTCATCAAACCATTTTCATTTAAATACAGTAACAAAAAATTATAAAAACTTTGACAACAGGTTGATAATTAAAAAAGTTTAAAAATGTAACAAAATAAAAAAAATATGTTAAATATGATTATTTGCAAAATTTGTTTGTGACATGAATTTGAATGTTTGTTTTTTTTCCTGTGTAGGTGCTGTCACTCCTGTAAAAGATCAGGCTGTTTGTGGCTCATGTTGGAGTTTCGGAACCACTGGAACCATTGAAGGAGCTCACTTTTTAAAAGTAAGTTAATTTATGGCCAATAAGACTAAGGTGGCCTGCAATCATCATCATGTCATTGGTCATAAAATTGTGGAGCTTTAACCTCCGTGACCCTTAGCAAACTGTTTAAAGAGTGTTTTTTATTTTTTTAAAAATACCTAAGTAATTTTTGTATTTATCATAAGCCTTATTGCTAAACATTACATTTGTTACTGTTAAAAGTTGTTGTTATGTCGATTACTTAGCTAATTTGCAAATTAAGTAGGGTTCACTAATGGTTTCCTTATTTAAATAAATTAGAAAGTTTGTTTTTCTCAATCAGCTAATTTGTTGACTGTTTGATTGCTTTTATTGTCTTGATTCTTTAGATATTGAAAAACAAATGAACAGCACTATGTCAATTTCCTTAATTGTAATAACATTTTTAACTGTTTTGTTTAATTCTTTGTATTATAGTTTTTAAAATGATTGATTTTATCAACTAATGTGTTGTTGTTATTTATGCCACTTGACAATACCAGCAAGCCTGCTATGGGAAACTAAGCAAATTTAAAGCAGAGGGGTACATTTCTTATCTTTCAGTGGCGCCATCTATAGCCAAGAATTCGATTTAAATGACACACACGCCACAGTCCGTTTAACCGGGAGGACTCATTCATCCACAGAGCGTAACTTTGACCTGAACCAAAGAACGATCCATCTCCAATTCAATACCACAGAGTTATTGATTTGTTATAGGAACTTGGGGGACTTTGTTCCCCGACAGATTTAACGTGCACCAGTCACCATTTTTCGGCTGGTGGGATTCTTACTCCGGAACACAAACCTGACATCCTACCAACCAGGTTCTTTCAGCTCTAACTAATGTGTTGAGTGTTTGATTTCAATAAGTTTGAGATAGTGAAAAATCTATTATATATAATTCTCTTACGTGGCTCCCAAATTATTGCTGTATTTCTTTTCCGCCGGTGGCAACGTTTGCTTTGTTTTGAAAACACCAAAGCATTCTGCCTTTTAATGATGTGTTTCTGATCTAATATATATAATTCTCTTACGTGGCTCCCAAATTTTGGCTGAAGTACTTTGTACAACTAAATAAGATTCTTTTCACAACAGTTAAATATTTACTTTATTTTCTTCATTCATAGAGAAAACAGTCGGCAAAGAATTCTGTTAGGTTAAAAAACATTTCGCTAAAAAAATAACGAATTCTAAAAGAAATAAAAATAAACAACTTAAAAAATAAAAATGCTGTTGCCAGCCATAGAATTTTTTGAAAGTTAACTTAGCAACATAAATCAAAATGACATAGAAGCGCAACTAGATCAAAATTATGATACCTGAGCGCTTGACGTAACAAATCCTTCAATTCTAAAAGTGTTGTATCGCCAAATGCCCAAATTAACAATTGTGTTCTTAAAGAAATTCTATAAAAAGTTTTAAATAAACAACCTACTTCTACAACTGCTTCTTGAAGAACTTGGCTCATTGATTAAAAATATTGTTTTAATTTTACAGTACTAACTTTACTTCTACTTTCATTATTGCTATGACCCTCTTTCATTACATTTTACAACTTCATGCTAAATTTGAGGACTTTAAGTTGTTTTGTGGTTGAATACTGACATTTAGAAATGTGTACATAAAAAAAATAATATTTAGAGGTTAAGAGTTGCCTCAGAAAAATTTGAATTGTTGACATTGAACTTAACAATGGAAACAATCGTTTTTGTGAAAAATTGAATTGTATTGTTGACATCAAAACTAAAAATATTGTGTTTCAACTTAACAATACTACCTTAATTTATACTTTAGAATTGCCTCGGAGAAATTTGAATTGTTAGCAATGACTTAAACAAAAAGTTTTATTTTAACTGACAAATACTATATTATAATTTTAACTTTTTCTATGACTATACTCATTTTCTTACTCTTTTCTTTGTTTTTTATACATTTTATTTTTTTGTGATAAAATAAAAAACTTATAGTTGTTCTGCTTCTGAACACTGATGAAAACACAAAATGATGGGCTTCATCAACAATCAAAAATATATACATTTATTTTACAAATTCCATATTATTAAGGTGGCGCCCTTCAGAGAATTAAAAATACAAAATTATCTTCATCAAAGCCGATGCTTTACATCCGGCGTTCAGTGGCAGACTACTATTTCATATTGTTTTACAACACATGGCTTTAGCCCTCTGGTGGGAAAGACTTTAAAACAAAACTTACAACAGTTACTTTTCTCAACAACTGAAATTTAGAATAGTGTGATTAAGAAAAATATGTGAACTGTTTGCAATTTCAAATTAATATTGAAATGTACAGGTTTAGAATTTTCTACAGTGAAAAGTTTTCGGAACTTCAGTATTCAAAAAAGTATACAAAAACTAGACGTTAAGAACGTATCCAATGAGCGAGCAAAGCGAGCATTGGATTGCGAAGCAATCCGAAATGAACTGTGAAAGCAGTTCCGGGGGTTGGTGAGCGTTAGCGATCAGGGGGCGAAGCCTCCTAGTAAATAATATTATGTTAATTTAAGCGTACCAAAACATTGTTGTACCATCATAGATTTTATTTTTGCTTCAACAAGTACATTAGTAGATAATGTCTAGATTATCTAGGTAGTTAGCAGATTACCTAAGGTTTTTATGCTTACTAGGCATTATGCAGATTACCAAAGTAATTTAAGAAATGAAACACATTTTTTCTAATCTGCAGAATAAGTGATTTTTACACTTTAATTGTAACACGTATTGTTCTGCTCCTGATGTCAAAATAGAAATGTAAAAATGCTTTGCTTTTACAGACCCAAAACCTTGTGAAACTATCTCAGCAGCAACTGATTGATTGCAGTTGGCAGTATCAGAACAATGGATGTGATGGCGGAGAAGATTTCAGAGCATATGCATACATTGAAGCTGCTGGTGGTTTGGCCTCTGAAGAAGATTACGGACATTATTTGGGACAGGTATTCAAATTATTGTGCAATTTTTATTATGTAAACTCACTATTATGATTCCCTTCCTTTTAATTGTATGAAAACTGTATAAGTTGACCACATGTTAGAGCTTTAGACTAGCAATTACGAATAGTAACCACTGGCTACCAGAATCATAAAAAACCCTGTGGCACCTGTGTTGTTGATTTAATGTATTCTTTAAAAAATTGATTTATTTGATTTTAATCAGTTTTTTTTATTTAAATGTCTTTTTTTTAATTTTAATAATATGATGTATTTAAATATATAACAAATTCATACTTTACATCATTGTGGTTATTAACTTATATTTATTTTAAAATACATACATTTAACTAACACAAATAGCGATCATTTAAAAATGATTTCAAACTAAAGATAAAAAAAACTCCCATTTGTGAAATATGCCAGAAATTTTATTAAATAATAAAAAAAAAGGTTAAAATTGTCTCTAATATAATTTTATTTCTATTAATCATTTATCAACTTCATTTTGCATTTTAGTTCTGATAATTAGTCTAATGTTAATATGTTTTATAATTATTTATATCTCAATTTTTGCTATCTCTTCCTCCTGAAGTAGTAAATTTATGACTAGCTTGTAAGGAATTAATCTTTTTTAAAATTTAATAAACTAATTTATTGAAAGAAGAAAAAAAAACAGATAGTCATATTTTGTAAGGTATGCATGTCAGTTATTTATTATAAATAATTTCTTAATTAAAAAAAAATGTTTTTCTTTTAATATTGTCCATGGACAGGATGGTATTTGTCATGATCGTCATGTACCCAAAGTTGCTCAAATCAAGGGCTTTGTAAATGTGACCAGTGGAGACTTGAAGGCATTGAAACAGGCTATTGCTAAAAAGGGACCCATATCTGTCAGTATTGATGCTGCACACAAAGGATTTTCTTTCTACTCACACGGAGTCTATTACGATCCTGATTGCAGTAAGTATTTTTACCCTTTTGTTCTGTTACCATTGGAGAAACTTTCCATCGCAGATTCTCTTTCACCCCTATATGTAATTTAAAATTTATAGTACAGAAAAAGCATAGAAGTTCAAAGTATAGAGAAATTATAGTACATATAGTATAGAAGTTCAGACAAACCTGGAGTAAGTCATGGAGTTTCAAATGCAGAAAAAAAAAATTTTTCCTTATAAATATCAAAATGAAAATAAATTATGAGAAAATTACTTAGGGTTATGCTACGGGGAATTTCTTTTCCAATAATTGGTTTGCATTTTGATATTTTAAACTTTTTTTTTCAGTAATTGAAACTTCTTGGCTTACTCTAGGTTGGCCCTCAACTCATTTTTACTATATTTTAAATTAGTTATGGAGGTGAAATAGAATTAGCGACAAAAAGTTTCTCTCGCGGTATGGCATCCTCTTAACAGCCATTCAAATACTGTACCGCATTTCAAAAATTTATCAATAACTGATTTTAAATGAAGGAAATTTCAATGATGAATAACTGTTTCTCATAGATCTAAATTACTGCAAATCAGTGCAAATTTAAAAAGTTATTGTTTGGAAGTAAGTAAATTTAACATACAAAATAATGAAAAAAGTATGAAAAATATGTTTAATAAAAATTCTGTATGAAAGGGTTAAGGTAAGCTCATTTTTGCAAACTCAAATAAAGCATGTTTATACTCATTGCCTACGAGTTGAATATTTGGCACTGATGTAGGTTTAGCTATCTATTTTTAACTTTATGAAGTGTAATATGTGACCAAAATATTTTATTTTAGAAAATGGAGCAGATGAATTGGACCACTCTGTACTGGCAGTTGGTTATGGAGTTATGAATGGAGAAGCCTATTGGCTTGTCAAGAATTCATGGTCCACTTACTGGGGTAATGATGGCTATGTTTTAATGAGTCAAAAAGACAATAACTGTGGCGTAGCCACTTCCCCAACGTATGTGGAAATGTAAACAGTCTATGTTATCTATGTATTGAAAATGTTCCTACAAGCAGTACTTAATTTTTTATACACAAAGTTTCGTAATAAAGTTTATTTTTGTAATATATTTGTTTGTTCACACTGAGTTTCATGAGACCACTTGTGAGGTACTATATTTATTTAATAAAATTAAATGTAAAATTTTGGATTTATTATAAATTGATTTATAAAAAAAAGTACACCTAGCTCTTTTAAAAAAAATCGATAGTTTAACCTAGAGCAATAATTTTATTTAGAAATTTATTTGTTTCTTTTTATCACAATAATGTTTATTAAAGCAAATTTCTTTCAAGTTATCATTTCAGTATATGTTAATTAATACATACATTTAGTAATTGGTTTCGACAATCGATCAAATACAAAATTATACAGCTCATTTTATCAGTGAATTCTTGTCTCTGTCTATATATGAGGGGTGGCCAAGCTCTTTGATAGTCGAGCCATTTTTCAAAATTTAATATTTTTTGCGAGCCGCAATTAAATACATATTAAAAAAGTATGAAAAAAGGTATTAAATATTTTTTTTTTAAACATAAATTATATTTATTGAGAACATATAAGTAAAAGTACAAAATATGTGTATTGAATTTAAAAATTAAACACATTTATTTTACTTCTCTTGATAATTTTTTAAAATTTGGTGAATAATTGGTGTCAGCACTTCTCAGTAATTCTTTGAGATGCTGGTTAGTTAATACTGATCGGTTTTTGGATTTCACGAATTTTAAAGTGGAACAAAATGATTCACATAAGTACGTTGTTCCGAATATTGAAATAATTCAACAATCAGCCTTGTTTAATTCAGAATACTTCGATTTTGGTACAAATTTCCAAAATTCAGTAATCGACGTCAACTTATATTTTAATTGTAGAGCTTGATCTTTCTAATTCTCCAGATGCTTTTTGTGTCATAATTATATTGGAAATAGAAACCTCACCTTGGAATTGAACAACGTTGCACTTAGTCTTTCATATTTGTTCTCAGTAATTTAAAAAACATTTTGAAACACATACGGAACGATAATAATTTTTAAAAATATAATAGCACAAAAATTAAAAGGGAACTCGGGTACATTTATCGAGAGCCATAAATAATCCTTCAAGGAGCCGCAGGTTGGCCACCTCTGATATATAGAGTTGCTCCAATCTGGGAAATATGGCAACATTTTGAAAAAAAGGATAGAAAGTAAATTAAAATTTTTATTATTACATTAACGGCTTACAGTTCTCTTTCTTTTCATCAATATTAGCTACGACTTTTTGTCTATACCATTTTTTTTGCTGTTACAGATTCATTATATGGTGGAAACAAACACTTTTCTAAATCCATATGTTGAGAATGACTTTGAGACTGCAACTCATTCAATTTATTCATCATTTTAAATATTTTTAGTTCAGTTTAAGTCTCGCGATCTGATTACATATAGAAAACTCGAAAATTTTTGATGGATGGTGGTATTGTAGGAAAACTTAAATCCATAATCATAAATGAAACTTTCTATAGAATATTGAACCTATTTTAACTTTGCCTCCTGAACATAACATCGGCAGTAAGATACGCCAGATGTTTTCTGAGATCCATTCCGGTTTTAGAAAGCTTGTTGTTTATGCTTGTTTAACCATTTTTTATTGCTATATGTAATACGGGTTAATCTGTGAACACATATTTAATATGCAATGTTTCCAAGAAAAGAAAAAATATTATCATTTCTTTGCAGTTGGGTTCTCTGTTGTTCTAGCTTGTTGATATTTTTTGCTTTTCTTTAAGAGACCTCTTTCCTCTTGACTGAATTCAACTCTCAACAACGTGGAAATTATGGGAAAATATAATGGGGGTCGAAGAAAATATTAGGGGGACCAGAAAGTAACGTCATTTCAGTGTATTTGATATTTGTTATCAAGAATTTATTTTGAATCAATAATGTATTCACCTCCGTTAGCAACAACCTTTCAATGCCGAATCAAAATGGATTTGACAAAAATGAATTGGTATTTCAGACTAATGAATATTTAATGCACTGAAACGACATTACTTTCCAGTCCCCTAAATATATTCTGTATGATATGTATTAATTTCTAATTTTGTATCAATTTTGTGGAAAATCAATTTTTTTAAAAATTTGACCTTTTAAACATGTCATTTGTAATAATTGTTATAATAGGCTATTATAACATTAACATATAATAGTAAATTAACACTTCTAATCCTGGAGATAATGAGAAAGGAAGTTTCTTAAAAACATTATTATTAATTATTTTGTAAAGATGTCCAATCGTCCGGATAGAATTTGGCCCATATACTTTTTAGCTAGTTCGGAAAGACGTGAAGAGTTACACAAAGTAAATTTGCCAGGACTTGCAGTAATAAGCCTTTAGTAAGGCTATTTATAATAAGCCCTCCATACTCTGGGCTTATTGCGAATTTCCAGAAATTAATCATGATAATTGAGATATTAATGACTATGTTCTCTAATGAGAATTAGGCTGATTAGAAAATACTTGACTTTTCTAATTAGCCTAGTGCAATGCAAAATGATGGTGGCTGAAAAGAGCCTAATTATTTATTTAGCCTACGAGTTATGTAGCAATTTTCCATAGATCTCATAACAATCTTTTCTAACAGTTAATGCTAAGACCGATTTTTTAAAATATTTATATGAGAATCCGTAACAGATCAAGCTTCCTTTTTCTAATTCCGTTTTCTTCTCGGCTAATTAGTGTTGAGTTTTGATTGATATACTTAGCATAATTTTCATTCAAGTTTTTTTCAATGAAGGTGGAACAAGCTAAAACGACTTATTTATCTGTAGTATTCATCATAAAATATTTATATACGACTGTACGATCTCTTTGAGTCATAATATATCCGATGAATAGTGAGAACCCACCAGGGCTGGTACTGAGCAAGGTCGCCGGCAGCGGGGTGCACTTGCACCCCCCCTGGCTTTTTTATTTAAACAATTAAAGAGTATAATTTTTTTAATTAAAAATTTGATTCAAAAACAAATAGTTAAGAAATTATTGGTACATAACAATTAAAAAATCGTTTAAATAAACAAGAATTGTAATCGTCTTGTTAGCTGTCCAAATCTGTTTTTAACGTTTTCAATGAATTCTGAGTCATCTTTGATCCTTTTCTTATGCACACTGAGCATGCACAAACGTCTTAATCTCTCGTGAGACGTTGTCATGCGTCGCATTGTACTAAAAGTGCGTTCAATAGTGCAAGTAGTAGCTGGAAGAGTTTGGCCAATTTTGATTGCCTCCGCTACAGCTGGATAAAACGGTGTGGCCTCAATAACTAAATCGATGTATTCGAGGAATTCATAAGAATTTTCTCTATTCCTCCACATTTCGTACCACGTAAATTCATAATTTTTTTTAAATATCTTGTTAACAATGAAGAAATGTATCATGAAAAAAATTAACAGATGAAAGTATCTGTAATAACAAAACAAAATGTAATAATTGAATATTTAAATTTTTTTTGGGGGGGGGGGGGGGGTTAGTTTGTTAGAGGGTTGCACCCCCTTTTATAATATTCTGCCGGCACCCTTGGTACTGAGTAACCAGAAAAATTTTAAGTATAAGGGTTTATTTACACTGATGAAAGCAATTAAAGGGAGAAACGTGTTTATAAAAAAAAGAACGAAATAAGTAATGCCTATACACAAATAAGGTAACGGATGATAGCTAACATCTCTGCCACACACGTCGTAAGGCAGTGGTGCTTTGATCGCGTTTGTGTAGGGATACTTCAATTGCTCGCCGAAGCTCGTGGCTTAGCTTTGAAACATCGTAGCTTAGCTCAGTTCCAGCTTTTTGAATTCCTTTGGTTAACCATCATTAGTACGACCAGTCGCCATCGTTCAGAGACGATGCGACAAAAAGGATAGATGTAAGTCTCGAGGCGGGTCAATAGCAAGCCATCTGTTGTAGAGACCTCGTGTTTTCGAGAAATGTGGTGTCCACTCCGTGTAAACAGTTCACAGAGACAGGAACAGTGGTCTGCTGATCTGGTCAAGGCAGCAAAAAGGGAACAACACTGGCTCGAGACCGTTATTTGAGATTTGTAGCCAAAAGGGATAAGCCTGCGACAACGACACAACTGTCTCTCAACATGTATCGTGCAAGAGGAACATCCATTTAGCGGATAACAGTCACCCGGAGACTTAATGTAGGTGCGTTGTATGCCAGGTAACTTGTAGTCTGCATACCTTTGACTGTGAAACACACAACCGTCTACCATGGTGCCGAGAACACCTTTCAGACAGAGGATAATTGGGGGCGGGTTCTCTTCAGTGATGAATCTCGATTCAGTCTGGACAGCGGCCTTAGACGGGTATATTTGCTCACCGATCTTCGTGTGTTCGATAGCGGTACAGGGACGAGATCCTTGCATCCTAAATGAAGCTTTTCCGTGGATCATATGGACCAAATTTCATCTTTATGAACGATAACGCATCTTCGCACAGGGTTCCAGTCGGAAGGTATTTGTTCCCTGACCTCAATCCCATCAAGCATGTACGGGGACCCTTGGACGCTAAACTGCAGCTCAAACGACCATCGGTGAGCTCAAGGGTGCCTTGTTGCGAGAGTGACAAGAACTCTGGAACATCCGGGTGTTCCAGGGTCCTATAGGCCTATTAGACATTCTGACTGACAGGGTGTTGATCAGATGCTGTCGTGCATGACAAGCAACCAGTTTTCTTATTTAGAGTACAGGTTGTGCCTATTCCCACACATTTACTTCTTTTGGATGTTATTTTAGCTAGATTTGGTTTAATTTGATTTTATAACCATCGTTGAACAGCCGACCAATTTTTGGGTTTACTAATGTTCAACTCCATAGCCTTATAATTTTGAACCCAATCCAGAAGACAAGGGAACTCCTCATGTATTGCGAGAAATCTGCCTTCGTGGAGGACTTTTTGATGGAACTAACCAGCATTTGCGTTACATGGAGAGGAAGACCACGAGAACATCCCACGGTTAGCCTGGCGGCAAGGGGACTCTAACCCGTGATCCGTCAACCACTGAGGACATTTCACGTCAGCACTGTGGTTG